CCTTTACAGCTCAGTCAAATTGAGATCAGGAGAACAACTCTGCCAGACAAGGGATATTCCATCTCTTCATCCTGAAAAGCTCTTTGGTTACTTTGACGGCACGGTTTTTTTTATCATCCCGCTGAATGATGAAATGCCGTCCGATGAGTTTTGATGCATTCGGCTGAATCCGAGCAAACTCCTGTTTTCCTTCAGCGTTCATCCTTTTGTTTCTGTCAGCGGTGAAATCATCAATAAATGCCAGTTCCAGTGGCGGCCAAAAGAAAAACTGCAATGTTTGACAGATGAAATGTTGTGTTTTTGGGTCATGACCTGCTCCTTTTGTGCTCCACACTTTACTTTTCTTTTGTTGTTGGGAACTCGAGGCCGGCCCTTTCTGTCTTTGAGGCTTACCGGAGCTTTACGTCATGTGGCGAATCCATGTGGCTTTTCTTCACACCGATTTTTCACTCATCCACAAAACCTGTGCTGCTCGGTCGACTGTGGCATTTTCTAGTGTCCTTGTTTGTAAAAACCCAACTCTTGATTTTGATAAAGCAGCTTACCATCGATTTCTCTCTAATATATGATGCTTATCTTTTTTAACCGCATTACGATGTTCGACAGTTGAATGATCTTCATCTTTCCTCAGTGTAAATGGCAGCTTCTATTTAATCCAACAGCCACACAAGAGCTCTTCTGTGCTATATGCATGAACTACTGCTAAAATAACACATAAACATGAGCCAAACAAGTGCCCAATTAACTATGAATCCTTGCAGTTTAGCCACTATGTGTTAAAAGAGCTGTATGTTACACACAGCTAATTCAATATTTCTCTAAATCTACTCAAATAAAAGCTGAGAACTGGCCCTTCAGCATAATGTTCATTATTTTTATTCTAGACTGAATGTTCTAAAGCACCTTGGAAAACAAAAACAATTATATCTGTCTAAATAATGACTGTCTGAACTGCACCCTCATTAAAAACACGTACCTCTTAATTTAGCAGGAGGCGCACGAGTGTGGCGCCGCAGAGTGTCACAGCAGACAGTCATTTTTTAGGACGAAACTTTGGTAGCTTAATTCTATTTTTTTTTTGTCTCTCGCTACTTTGCATAAACATATTTCCTGTTTTCACACACAAAAAAATGCATGAAAGAAAGAGAAACAACAAGAATAGAAAACGCTACCTGTACCAACAGTGGAGGTGAACTTCCTGACCCAGTTTGCCGCCGACGACACCTGAACACGTACAGTATGTTCCAAAAGACACCGTAAACCTGTAATATTAACGCACAATGCTGCACGTTGGCACTGTTTAAACAGGCAGCTATGTTGCTTGTGCATTAATTACTCTTGCTTTTCCCTGTTTTGGATGTATGAGCACTGACACGTGCAAGTTCCTGCACACAGTTTACGGCCACACTCCAATAGAGGCAATTACATTACCAGAGCTAATTTATAGCGAGTTGTAATCAAAACTGTAACACTTAATTTCCCACTGGTTCCACCAGGTCACAATTAATTAACTGACAGGACATGCACACACAAAATTAAACCAACACCAGCAGTATATAACGACAGTCCTGTCCACAAAAGACTGCTAATGAGCAGTTTTGTTTATCGTCTAGGACAAAAACACTACACGGGTACTATCTCGGTCTAAAATACGTCTGTTGTGAAGCCACACAACAACAAGAGGAGGGGGGAGGATGATATGCTGTATATCTGCCTCGGCCCTAAATATACAACAAATGGTTCTTTAAATAAAAGATGCTGAAATGCACAAAAGCGGTGAACAACAAAGCAATCTGAAAACATTTTAGCGGCTGAATCTGGGTAAGTGTCACTGCCCATCTTGGCTAAAACAACAATCAGCACAGTCCCTGCTGTCATACCTGCAGCACAATCCAGCAGAAAAATCACTGCTTTCATCACTCGGCGACAGGAGCTCGTGAAAGAAACAATGAACGGTCATCTTTTATCCACACCTCCCCTTTTGTCAGCCAGACCGTCACCTGCATTCACAGTTATTCTTAACTGCTGGTGAAGCTCCGTCGGTGAGGGCAAAGGTCAGTTTATTTTATTCATAAAATCTCCACGCGCCCTGGAGGGAGAGCGCTTCCATTCCAGACGCATTACTTCTCCAATTTTTCATTCAAACAAAGTAGCGAAGTTCACAGCTCTGATAAACCGGTAAACGCCACACCCTTGCTGTGAGCGATGTCGGAAAAGACTCATTTTAATCCATCATGTGGCGAAGACTGCTGAGGCGTGAAATAAAAAAAAATTAAAAAAAGTTGCGTCTCTGAAAGGATGGCAGTAAACAGGATGCTGAACGATGCTCCCTGCACACCTGATGCTCGGATACAAGTCAGCGATTTATTCAGCTTACTCCTGCGAGTCGGTATTATTCTTTAGCAATTTTGAAACTTTTATTTTATTACGTGCTTTCAATTGTGAGTTATTTCATGCATTCAGCACAATGAATAGGAATGGGTAAATGCATGGTCCAAATGCAGGGAAAGCAGGTAAAGATTTAAGGGAGATGAAGCCATCTGCAGCTGATTTTTCCAGCACTTAGAAAACTGCAGGTAATGGAGCTGACAGGTAAGAAAAGAGAGGACATTAACACCTTGAACCATTGAGCCCTGCTCTGAGCAAACCTGAAAGCGTCCAAGGCCTATTTCTCTCTTTGTGGCTAAGCAGCATTAAGACCCCTGTGGCAAAAGGACACAAAGTGAAGGTGGTCTTCAAAGGGCTTATTAGAAAGCTACAGTACACCTCTGGAGCCTTTAAGATATCTAGGATCAAACGCCTCCGCCTTTCATGCTTCCCACTCTGGTAGAAATAGTCTCCTCTCTGTCCCCCCTCTTACTTTTTCTCCCTCATCATTAGTTCCCTGTACCTTCAAAGCGAAGTAATGAGGGAAATGCATGCATTTTAAATCTGGATATAGCCGAACGCTGTTGTTCTGCGTTTTTGGGGATGTGTGTGGTGTCAAAGAGTGCTTCACTTACACGCTGTACATCGAAATCTATACCACTCCAAAAAAAAAAACAGAGATAAAACCAGGCAAGAGGTAAACAGAAACACATAAAGAGAAAAGCAGGCAGACAGCTAGAGGGGGGCAGGAGGGCAGAGAGAGAGGAGAAACAGAAGGTAGCAAGACAATAATTACAGATTTTTCTTCACACTTTTTTTTGCTCTTCAGGCAGTTATTGCCATTCACAGGATGAGAAATAAACAGAGGAGTGCTTCGTTTCCAGCACAGCCTGGCCATTTTGTTTACTCTCCCAGACTGTAAAAAACGCCGGGAACGCTACAGTGCTTGTGCTGCTTTTATGAAATGTTCGCACTTCTAGCATGAAAGCGTGTCACATCTCACCCCGGATGCATGCGTACATGTGCGCAGGCCGCATGGATGTGTACAGCCAGCGTTATCAGAGTGCTGCTCCGCTGAACAAATGCATCCCGCTTCGTTCATTACGCTAACTCCAGGGCTGCTAATCCTCGCTCTTCCAACACGCACATGTACACAAACATGCGCGCACACGTGGAGAATGAGCATTTACATAGCTCGGCTCTGCCTGGTTAGCGGCAAGGCAGCGTTTAATGAGCTGGAGGCCGGTTGCCTTCCCTTGACTGCAGCCTGTGAGTGGTTAATTAATCAGACAGCTCTCCCGTTTTATCCCCCACTTTTTTCTTTTCCCCATCTCTCACCTTGAACTAGCTATACTACTTCATAAACGGGTGAGATCCTTGAAATTGTCTCCCAAGACAACACCTGATGCGCCTCACTACAACACTTCCTGCCAATATTACTATACTGTCAGAGTAACAGACTTTCCTGAGGGGCTGCTTCAATTTTGAGTCGGTCTTGAAATCTTTAATAACCAGGACATTAATCGCAGTCAGTCTGACCAACACTATCTTTAAATCGTACACAACAAACAACCACACAACAACATGCTGTTTACTGATTGGCCCTGAGACAAACTGCATTATTCAACAGGGATAAAATAATTACTGCAGCCTCATTTGAATAGAAATAAATTTCTATCAGTATGCTACAAATGCAAACTAAAAAAATCTGGTGTCTTTGGATGAGTTCTGATGGATGGAATCATTGCGTCTCATGCCAGCTGGTATCTGTCACAGAGAATGACACGCAGTGTCAACATTGTGCCAGGCGGCGATAAAAAGGTGAGAGACAATAGTCCTAAAGCTAACACTGACTCTCCCAAATGGCTTGTGCTGTAGTGGTTTATATGCAGAGGCACAAAGCGCAAACACAGAGAACGTGCTAAGAAAGATAACAAGTTTCTCTCAGAGATGCTTGTGCATAGTTCTGATTCCTTTCCAGAGTGGCTTTGATTCGTTGATCTCTGTGAGGGCAAGGCCTCTGTTGCTATTTTGGAATTACTTTGCGATAACTGTAGCCGCCACCCTGAAACATGCAGCTTTCACTGTCAAACAGATGCTCCACGTGCCACCATCGCACCACCTTCCACATCTCCAGCGCAGGTTCATTATTAATAAGTATAAATATTTTCTTATCATATCTTCACTACCAGACTAATGAATTTTTAAGACAACTTATTTCTGCTTGATTGAACTTACAGGACGAGTCCCACTGGTAGAATACTCGCTCTGCATAATGCATTTATTGGATCTGCACTATTTGCCTACATACTGGGTCAACACAAAACATAAAGATGAGTCAAACAGTTTTCAGCTATTTGCACTACAGATGAAATGAGCGGGTCAAAGTGAGGTCATGACATGAAAGGAGGTTAAAAAAAAAATAAAAAAAAGACAGAGGCGTAAATGAGAGAAGATGGGAGCCTCTCAAGGCGACAGCACCCCTCCGACACATTGCTGATTAGCAAAGCGAGCAGGTCTGGCAAGCAATCAAGGAGGCCCCACGAAGCTCTCAGCACGTTTCCATCCTGTTCATTACCAGCCACTGGAGTCGCAGGCTACCGAGCTGCACTGAGGCGTAACTGCAGGCTTACCTTCAGCTCGTATGGTGAAGGGGGAATCTCCGGGCCGCTTGGCCGAGAACTGGCCCCCTAGAGAGGTCATTAGAAAGCAGAGGCTGAAGAAGCCGATCCCCACCACAAAGATCCTGCAGGAGAGGAGTTAGAGACAAGAGGCCGATTAGGTGGCAAAAGACCAAAAGAAGAGGTTAGTGCTCATGGTGAGATTATCGTCCCTTTACACGGAGCAGCATAAAAGCATAATACTATATAAAAGGACAGCATAAAAGAGCATCTGAGTGAAGAGCACAGGGACCATGGATATAGCCACATTCACCATTCAATAGACTGGAGTCTGTGTGTGTCCATTTGTAAGAGTGTATGTGTAGGTGTATATGTGCAGTGGGTGTGACAACCTCCTTACAATACTCTACCGGTTTAGCAATGTTATAAAGAAAGGAGCTAAATATTGCTTATTCTTCCTGCAATGAGGCGCCTCAAGAGGGCAAAAGTTGGTGCTCTTCATGTTGGACATGAAAAGTGTCCAGAGTGATTTTATCAGACAGAAAGGAAAAACAGGACAGACAAGGATAAAAAAGGAGAAGAAAGTACTAAAACAAGGCAGGTTTCACAGCAGAAGGAGTTCAGAGTCGGGAATCTAAATCCTTTATGAAGTTTTATGGAGCGTGGAGTTATTTTTCAAAGTTCATATTGTACCAATCAAGCCACGGAAAAGCATTGTGTACTCGGTTGACTGTGTCATTTAAAACGAACCATTACACGGATGGGTTTTCTGCATCACACTCTGCCCCAGTGAGCAAAACATCCAAAATAAAAGCATTCAATTACAGGCGAATGGCTGCGAAAACACACGCAAGCAGCAAACACTTCTCAAGTTCTCCAGCTTAAGAAACAAAACGCTTTGGAGCGATTAACTTAAAACTGGCTTGTCTGAACGCTCCAGGACTCATGCTGAGAAAATGCGTGGAAACAATCCTTTCATGGAGCAGAACTGCGGGACAGATTGTCACACTTCTGTGCTAAAGAGCCAATTTTTAAATATTTCTATAAGGCGGGGATCCGACAACAGGACGGGGGATGCAGCCACTCAGCTGGAGTTTGTGATGGTGCCACATCCAATATGTGAGATAATGGTGCAAAAAGTGGGATTTGTGCTCGGTGGAGCGTGCACGTGTGAGAGAACACAACGATGAATCTATAGTGAGAGCTTTTCTCCCTGCACCATCCACTGAACTCTACAGTTTGTGTCACAGGGGTGTGTTAAATCAGGTGTGGAGCCCTGGAAGAGATGTGCAGCATCACCAGAGAGCTGTGCAGCATCAGGGGGGAAACTTTAAATCTCTGAGCGCTGGCACAGGCTCTGGCATGGCCATCACCAATTATGCATGGTGCTCCCTGAGTTTGGGTTGAGCCTATCTTCACAAAGTCGGAAGTTTTAATGAGTTTGTGTCAGCTCGGTTCGCTTTCGCAGCTTCTCCAGCTGCTGGTGGGAGACTTTGAGCTGAATAAGCAAACCTTAATTGTGGCACAGCGGACACCCTGTGGTTCCAATTAATTCCAATGGTCTGAACTTGCAAGACTTGCTCTGCTGAAGACAAAACAATCAGCAGTGTTTCAATGCAGATGCCTGAAACAGTGATTTAACCAACAATTTTGCAGTTTTTGCTCCATTGCGTTACATATTTCTTTTTGCAATTTTTCATGATGTTGCAGCAAGAATAAAGGAAATCCAGTCTCCTGTAGTCATTTTAAATGTGAGAAAACAGTGCAAAGCTTTCAAATTTGCAGCAGGCTGGTTCTTACCTGAACGGTTTGCATGTGAGAAGACATCTCCTCACCATAATGGAAAGCTCGCTGCTGGTTGCAATCATTTTCCGCACACGTACAGAGCGCCGGCTGTGCTCACCATCGCGCAAGTTTGTGTGTCAAGTGGCGTCAAAAGCATAATGTTTGTCAAGCTTTGAGGGAGCGATCCAAACGCGCAACTTCCCAGACTGACTGTTTATGAGCAACTTCAGCGCAAATCCTGCCGGTGCGTCCTGCAGGCGGCAAGAAGGAAGGAAGGCAGGTAGGTTCGGTTAGTCCTCCTCCCGACACTGAAGAGGAACAAGTAGAGAGGGGTTAAAGCTGTGGGTGTCCTTTAATAAGTTGTGATTGTGTCCCTTAATGCTGTTAAATGTCCTGGAGACGCAGCGGCATCGAGCGCAATAAGCCTGGACCGCTGAGTTCATTGGATTCCTCAGAGTGGAAGCAGCTCTGTTCTGGTTACATGACACGAGGAGCTGCTCGGCTGCGGCTTGTTTACTGACAGCGCCACCTAACGACTCACATGGGAGTGCAAAAGTTGATTTCCTAATTCATAGCACATCATAGTGCAGAAATTAGAATACAAAAACGGTCTCAATTAGCATTAATTTAGGGTGCTTCGGCTGCATTTTTAGGGTTTTGATCAGGGAACATTTGTATTAGTAAGTCTTTCCTTGAGTCATTTTTAGAAATGTAGCAAGAACACAGATAAAATAGTTTCCAGCAATGTTGCAAGAGGTCAAGCAGAGGGCAAAATTTGATGCCCTGAAAGCTTCTGTAGGTGTATATATATGTGGATGTAACCATATTTCCTGCCAAAAATATAGTCTTTGGTTGACATGTTGTGTACCTATGAGGCCTCTAACATCCATAGAATGTGATGCGAGACATGTATAGTAAGTCAAGGTTCTAGAAGGCTTATTTTATTTATTTTATTTTGCGAGCGTGACATGCCGAATTGTGATGTGGACGTATTTGTAAGACCATGAAAACTGATGTGCATAGGGTTCTGTGTATTGTCATTAGATGTGCAAAGTTAAAAGTTGTTCCCACGATGTGCTCATGTTGGTATTTAACAACACATGAGACTGATTTTTTTATACCGACCCTTACTATGCTTATAGTGCCTGAAGAAAATATTCAACCAGCTTTGGAGTTTTCAATTTATTTCAGCTTTTTTGACAAAATTTTACAATAAAGTTAATTGGAAGAAGGTTCTTTTGTCTGATGAGACCAAATTGAGCATTTTGGGCTTCAGAT